ATTTGAATTTCAATTTGGATAACCGTGGTACACGCAATTCCCCGTTGAATACCAACGAGCCACGTACGCTTCTCAAAACCTCTTCCAAGAAATATTCGAGGGGTCTATTTCGGCAAGAGACGCTGATTTACGGATGATAGACTGCTCAACGCCGAGATAACATCTCGGTGCGCCTAAGATGAACTTGTTATTTGTTGTTGGCACGAGGGAAATATAATGTCCGACCGTTGAGCTACCTTAGAGCCGACGATAAGTTTCTATCGATGCCAATCTTAATATTGTTTCCTATGGAGCTATGAAATAGTAGCTGCATCTGTATTATCTATGCGTCAAGCGTCACGGGGAGAAGATCTGTTCGAAGCAACATCGACATTTGTTCCTCAGGAATGCGCTGCTACAAGATCGCGGAGATCGCGGAGGAAACGCAGTTTGACAATATTCGGTGGGTCGCGGGAGGATCCTTTTTATGGATTCTGATCCCGTTGTTCATTCACGCTGCAAGGCGCATTGAAGGGGTTGAGGGAACGAGAATGGAACCGACATCGGAATGGGAATGGAATCTGAAGCCCCCCTCTATACGCGTGCGTCCGGTTCGTTCATTCACGGATCCGTTCATTCATTCCCTTGCGTTGTGCGTCCAACATTGTTGCGTCTGAACGCAAACATCTCGATTCAATCCGCAGTTGAGATACTATATATATACACACACGAAAACTTCCTTTTTATAGAAATAATAATAATTCTTCCTTTGAAATTCCTTTTGCAAATGGATTTTAAAGAAGTTACTTTTTCAAAGCTGTATTAAAGTTTTCAAATATTCAATGAACAGAAATTAATTTTGACCAATAAGAACTGTGTAAAGATTTTTACAGCTCGAGGTAATTTTCTGTGACATAGTCATAGAAAAGTTTTTTGAAAACTGCGACGAAAGGAAAGATTTGATCTGATCTATAGTCATTAAATATAACAAAGTATTAAAGTATCGCTAAATATAACAAAGTATTCAATGTTTTAGCATTTGGAGCTAATATGGTTGATTAAATTTGGTATGTACACAGAACATACTTGCAACTTATAAACATATTTAGTGGAATTTCAATAATTTGATGTATGGAATAATAATGTAAGTTTTTTCTTCAAATTAAGAGAGAGCATAAAGAAAACATTTTTATATTTCTAAGCATGAATATATATATATATATATATATATATATCGCAAAAAGCACAAGACATCCTAAAGACGTTCTGAAAACGTCCTCAGGATATCCCCTGCAGATCTTATGCTGTCTAGGATATAATGTTACATATAAATGTGAATTATTATTTAGAAAAAATGAAACTAATTTAATTATAAACAAAGCGTATAAGTTATCGATGGTTGTAGAAACCTTTTCAAAAAGCTGTTTAACAGACTTTATCCATCTTGTCATAATATTATTTAAAAACTAGTGAGCACTTCATTACAGCAAGAAATCACTTTCTTTTTAAAGAAATTAATGACTTAGTAAAAATAATTTATAACGCTTGAACTCGATTGTAATCGGATGGGAGTCAAAATCTGTTCATTGAAGACGCTATTAGAACATAAGGTAAATGTACCAATGCCCGAACATATACCTATCTTCGGGCATTGTTATTATTTTTATATTTGAATATGAATATTTCAACTTTCAACGTACAATACATACATATTGGTATACATACATTTAATATTTATATTTAGTGTACGCCGAAAGATGAAATATTTAGAGAAATATTCAAAATAATAAGAGTGTCGGAATTATAGGTACATGTCCGGGCATTGGTACATTTACCTTATTCATGATGCCATGATTGTCGTACTTTGTTATATCTAGTAAGTTTAGTTTGAGCGACGCGTCGGCTCGGATTCAAACGTAATTGATGCACCGACCGCACACGCGCTCGGCGCCGCGCCCGACGAGGATAAGGAAGGGAGATGCGAAATGCACGGAGGCGAGCGCGGACGCACGACTGAACGAGACGACGGCGGCGACGGCCGGGGGCGCCGCCGCGGTCGGAAGAATGGAAGCGCGAGAG